AGGAGGACACAAGAAAAAAAAAGTTTCCTTTTTCCATTTCATTTTCATTTACTTATAGAGCACCTTCCACAACCTTTAGCAGAAGCCCAAGGTGCTGAACACAACAATAAACTGGCAATCGCATCAGTAAAAACAATTTAAAAAATAATAAAAACAGAATAAAATACTGCATTAAAAAATTGACGAGAACAATTATTAAACAATTAAAATCAAGACAAAATTGCAGACCCTAGTGGTGAAAATGCCTGGACATAATAATGGGCCTTCAGACGTGACTTAAAAATCTGGACGGAAGGCGCCAGCCTAATAGTCAAAGGTAGACCGTTCCACAAAGTTGGAGCAAGGACCACAAACGAACGATCTCCACTAGATTTGCATGTGGAACGAGGGACCACAAGTAATTCCTGGTCACCAGAGCGAAGAGATTAATTCACCTGTTTTTATTGTTCACACACAAAAAAAAAACTATGAAGATAAAAACCTTTTTTAAAATGGTAAGCAGCAGAAACATATGTATCTTTTTTTTAATTCTGATTATTTCTTCATTCATTAATTGTAATATTTTTATTTTGTTTTACAATCATGTCTTGAATAAACAAGATCAATATATGGTTTGACAGAACATTAATATTATTTGTTAACACTGGGGTTTCCGGGGGGGGGGGGGGGGCAATTTTCTAGGGGTGGCTATGGCAACCCCTGGCCACCCCCTGGTGGCGCCCTTGGTGAAGAGCACTGAACACAAGCATCAACACATTGAATTTTGCTCTGTACTGCATAGGAAGCCAGTGGAGTTGCTGAAAGCAGTCTTTTCTGTAGCATCGGATGACACTTTCATCTTGTTAGCCTCCACCTCAGACTTAGGTTGCATCCATATTCAAAGGCAGGCTCTTAGAGGACTTAGAGAAACGGAAATATTGGGCCAAACCATCAATCGTGTGTTGATTCTTCACATAATTGGTAGCATTTGTTTTTCTCAACAGGAGAATTCTCACCAAATGAATGTCAAGTAAGTTCAGAGCTTTTAAATTCCGCTCAAAGTGACGGTTTCATTGGTTCAATGTCATCAGTGTCAGTTTAATGAGCATGGGCATATTTAGTGTTTGTGTCAAAGATCATTTGACAGATGACAAAGTTTCTGTTTGGTTGGCCAAAGCTAATGAGCATCCAGAGTTGAGATTAGAGGCAAACATATTCAGGCAGAGGCATCAAACCAAGCTTCGTGTGCATTGTTATCATCACTGCTGCTATTGTTATTTACCACCAGACTACCAACACAGTGTGGGAGGTGTGAAGCACACAAAGCAATTATCTTTAATTGAGGTAGAGAAGCACACCATTAAATGCCTGATTTTTTTTTTTTTGTCCTTTGTATAACATACATTTTCTGAAATAACTGTCTCAACTTCAGGAAATTAAAGCTTGTTCTGCCATAATTATGCATCATTTGTTAAAAATCTACATCTGAATTTGGATCATTTTAGGGGCCATGCACAGAAAACACTGGTTTGTTCTAAAGTGAATTCTTTAACCCTTTGATGCATAATGGTCACTACAGTGGACAGGTACTCAAAATTGTTATTTATTTGTTTTTGCTATTAAGCACAGCTGTTGAAGACTTTATTGTATTTGAGCCCCTCCATTTGGACTTCAGTGAGTCAAGCCAACATATTTCATGTGCAGAATGCATGCTGTCCACTGAGGTGGACATGTAATAAATAATTCGTAAATTATAAAATTTTACTAAAAATATTTGTTGAAATTTGTTTCATTCACACCTAAAGACGAATGAAAAAAATTGTTAAAAAATCATGGTTGAAGATTTCATGATTCATGCATCAAAGGGTTAATGGCTTGTCTGACAGAAAAGAGTTTGATAAACACGTCCAGGAACTAAAGATCGCCAATTAGCATTTCCAAGGAAATTGGGAAATGTAACACCAAGAAATGCTGAGGTCCAACAAGGACACAATACAGTAAACTAGGGCTGCACGATATTAGAAAAACCTGCAATATGTGATAGCAGTGATTAATAATTACTTGCGATAAATAAAAACTTAACTCAGGAACAAAAATAATCAAAAACAAAGAAATAAAAAAATGACTAAAGAATCATAAAAATGAGAAAAACTAAAGATGTGAGGAAAGGGAAAAAGAACAAGAAAAGACAATCAGTGGATCCCGGGAAAAGCTGAATCAGCAGAAAGAGCAGAACAAAGCTAACTCAGGTGTTTGCGAACCATCAAAATTAAGTGCCGTCCGCCTCGGAGGTGGGTATTTAACATATGAGAACCCACCCGATCGGCCAAATGGGTGAAGAGCTCTGTTTGACTTGTTAAAAAAAAAAAACACAATACTTCCGTTTGACAGAATGCATTATGTGTAGCAAACATTTGAGCTGACCATTCATTGCAATATTTATCTGTTCTTTGCGATATGCATATTGCGCATGCTGATATCGCGATAACAATATATTTACGATATATTGTGCAGCCCTACAATAAATGATCAAAGCTTTCAATATTTTTATGTGTTCATTGACACATAAAACTGTATTATTAACCAAAGTCATTTACAACACTTATTATTTTGTGATGTATTAAGTTACTGACTCAGCTCTCTGACACGGCTCATGCTGAAGAAGTGCTGGAGAACTGGGACTGAAGCAGAAATCTTTTTGATGCTCTGTGAACGGATTTGGCGTTTGAGTTTGTGGAATCTTCAGAGAACATCTTGGAACCAAAAGAGGAAACAGTTGCCCTGAAGAATGACTCCCACAGAAGAAAAAGTAAGACATGACACAGAAAAGGAAAGGAAAGGAATTCATCCAAGAATCTATCATTTCTGGACTAAATCAAGATCTACGCTGAAAACTGGATCAGAATCTGAAATCGTCCGACTTTAGATTGTGTCTGAAAAACAAAAACGTGGTTTTTGCATCATAGATTTGACAGATTACAAAACTGTTCAAAGTCAGGTTGTTCTTGCACCAGCAGACATTACTTTGGAAAACTTTGAAACATCTAAAAGTCAAGTAGTACAGGAACCAGAAGAAGACAATGTTCTTCCTGAAAAAACACTTATTGCAGGAGGAAGAGGAAAGGTGAGATGAAAAAAGAACCTGACTAAAGCTCAAATTTTAATGGGTTTCTGACCATTTCTGATCATTTATTGTTCATTAGTTATTCGCTTATGTTCAACTTTAAACTGCAATATAATGATGACAAAGAAAGTATGTGTGTTACATCTTTAGTCCAAATATTGAAGGTTACAATCAATTAAAAGCACTAAATACTGTTATTGTATATACAGTATGTCAAGCACTCTTCGGCACACAGTTAAATACTGAAAAACTATAATTCTAAGATTAAAAGAGTCAAAAAGCAAATGCCTTTGATATTTTTTATTATATATATTAAAAAAATACAGAATCCCTTCATCTCTCTAAAAAAATCAACCTTGAAGATTGTTTCATGGGTCAGTATGTCACTGGGCTGAGACTGTTGGCCACCAATTACAAAGATTTGTTTTAGGGCTGCTCGATTATGGCAACAATAATAATCACGATTATTGTGACCGAAATTGAGATCTCGATTATTTAGGACGATTTTTAAATTTATGTTGATTTTATTTGATTTTATTCTGTCATAAAATTGCTCAGGGCACAATCAGGACAAAAATAAAACAAGATGATCACTAAAATAACTCCTGATTCCCAGTATAAAAAGACCAATATACTTATAGCTCATAGTTTATGACCCAAGGGCTATAGACCTTGGTTTAACTTATTTAAGTCTAACCAGTACAGACCCAAATACCAATATCTTGCAAATACTGACAGCAAGAATTATACAGTGGCATTTATAACAAATAAATGCAAATAAATTGATGTTCACAAAATGTTGCATAACATATATTGAGTTGTGTCAAGGTGCTGTAGGAGAGTGCACTAGCACCGTGTCCTCAGAGAGATTAGTTATTGTTTATTAGCGTGAGGAACTTATTTCTATCTATTTCTACCTGATTTATAAACTTTACAGGTCCATCAGTTAATGTAATAATTGTCCCAACCACAGCTGTACCCCCCACCCCAGTCTCACAGCAATCGGGGGCAAGCTGCACGTGTGTTTAGCGCGCCGCACGCGCACATTTAGCTGTTTTTAGCGGCTCAGGAGCCCGCAGGTGCGGTGTGTGTCACTCACTCTGGTTAATTATCCAACAATTACTGTTGAATTATAGGTTAATATGAACATAGCTAGGCTGTGGATTAGAGCTTTCAAAGAAAATCCAGTAAAATGATCTAGTCTCTCAGTTTAGTCACATAGCGAGTCGTTTTAACAAATGAGATCAAATTTGAAGAAGCTGGAGGAATGGTGGCTGTTTGGTGGGCGGCCCTGTGGGTTGATGGAAGGCAGAGCAGATGATGAGCTATGACCAGAAAAAAAATCCTATTTTAGTGACAGAAAAGTAGCAGCAATAAGAGCCATTAGCCATTCTGAAAAAAATATTAATTTTAAGGTTATATGTTGCTCAGACATTTGAAAACACTAGGATTATTAAACATGATTAAATTTAGGTATGAAGTCAGTCCTGGTGGTGTTAATGGATTTTGCGTTTCAACAGGTGTGCATTGTTTTTCCACCAACCTGCATCAACAGACCTATAAGGTACTGCAACACGTACAACATATAAATCACTTTTCTTGGATATAAGATGAACTTTTGGCATCAGATCAAACGGGACTACTTCCATACAAATGTCATATTGATGTTGTTCAGAATCGACACACACAATTAAAGGTTCATTAAAGATTACACATAAACCACAAAACAAAAACCAGTAATACATTTGCGAATCTTCAACTCCTACTTGTGAAACATCACCGCTATCTTCAGTCCTCATATATCGAAAAAAGATTTATTACATGAGGAGGGGAGTGCAGTTTCAGTCAGAGGGCCAATGGTCTTAAATTACATCCAGTAAGTTAAAAATAACACGTTTCTGCAGACATACTGATCCAATGTCTTGTGGCATTACACATTCAGACAAACAGAGAATATCTTTCTTCACAGTACTCTATACGTTGCTGGCAACAGCCCTGTGTGCTTTCCACAGAAACTCACTGTAATTTCAGTGGAAAACATTATGATGTGCTTTTCTTTTAGCAGAAAACTCCACTGAAAGTAAATTGATCTAATTTCCTCAAATTAACAGTGTGCAAAGAACTATGTGATGGGAACTGAAGTAGGAGAAGCAAGATGCAATCCCGGACAAGCCCCCAACCAATAGATGCTGCAACCCAGCTTGTTGGTCGGAAATGTAAAACAGCGACTGGGCACATTACAGAATGATTTAAACCTTTAACCCTCCCACTGTCTTTATGGGTAGCCCCGTGAGGAAAGTTGACCATTGAGCAGGATTGATGGTATATCCCTTGAGGTCCATGTGGCAGGAGTGAGGTGGTGCTCACTCCTCACCCCTGCCACGTGGACCCAAGGGATAAACGGGTTAACCCTAACCCTAACCCTAACCCTAACGCTTGATTGCAGTTATTGCTGCTAAGGGAGGCCCAACCAGTTATTAGGTTCAGGGGGCAATTACTTTTTCACACAGGGCAATGTAGGTTTGGATTTTGTTCTCTCCCTAAATAATAAAAACCATCATTTCAAAACTGCATTTTGTGTTTACGTGTGTTATCTTTGACTAATGGTTAAATGTGTTGGATGATCAGAAACATTTTGTGTGACAAACATGCAAAAGAATAAGAAATCAGGAAGGGGGCACATAGTTTTTCACACCGCTGTATGTTATGTTGGATTGTGAACAAAAGTGTTGTTTTGGAATTGATTATTTTATTTAAGTACGTTTATTAGACCCTTGTGGATGTAAAATGTTCAAGATGGCTTTGTTCCATCAATGATATGAGGCTTTGAACGATAACGTAGACAATTATTTAGCATTTCTCAGTGGTTTGACAAAAGTGTGTACTCAATTAGGACTGAATCAAGTTGCCCAAAAATGCCGATTTGACCCAAAAGAATGTAAATTACTATAATAACTATAACTATAACACGTAAAACACCAACAGGTTACTGGTCAAAAAGAGTGCAGCATCACAGAGAGCTATTCAAGTCATCTGTTGAAAATTCCTGTATTTTTCCATATTGAAGGGATTGAAAAAAGTTTGAAATATTGTACAGCCCTATATGAGAATTTAATAATAAAAATACTCAGTACTACCACTGTTTGGTCAGTGAAGATGCAATGCTGACATCTGCAAAGCCTTGATTGATCTGGTCTTATTCAAAGTTGACAAAAAATAAATAAAAACTGCTCAAGCAAGAGTGCAAAACTTCTTGCAAACAATTTTTTCATTAAGTTGCTTTTTACCATTTCTTACCCAAATCAAGTAAAAACTGGAAATCCGACAACAAAAAGGTAACAAAAGAGACTAGAGACTCTCTGGTGAGCTGAAAGCAGTCAGAAGGCACTGTTTTATGAGTCAGTTCTTATACTGTCAAAGAGCTTGTAGAGTCGGACCCATCTGGAAATAACAACGCAGTCACTGTGAAGTGTGTGACTAATTAAACAGCCAACCTTTCCCTTCTGAAGAGGACACACAGGTTCGCTCCTTTGCCATTGCACTGGCAAACATTCAACACCCCCTGAAGCACGACTGACGCCCACAGCAGCTCCTCCTCCTGCTCCTCCCTCATCGCTTCCCTCCTACTCCTCCACAGCCTCTTCTAAATGTTGCTCAGGGCTTTGTTGCAGCATCAGACTTTATCTATAAGGGAATGTCTTCCACCTGTGGCAGAATCGGCATGTTGGTAAGGATGTCGGGGCATCAAGTAACCAAGCAGCCTTTCCAACGCGAGCAGTGAGTAGAAGCCTGCTAGGCTCAAACTGGTTCATTATGTTCAGCCTTGAGGATTAACAAAGCTTTTCTTTTCTCCTATTGCAAGTGGAATTGATCACACTTGACTTTACAAGGACTTTCTGCTGCTTTCTTTGATTTTTCAAATAGAATATAGACTGGGAGAATTTGGTGAACTTCCAGCTGATCTCCACTACCAAGAACCAAGAGCTCTTCTTGGTAAATCTCATTTCCATGGAAAAAAAGAGGTCTGATCAGCGGCACTGAAGCATCTCTGCATCTCTGCTTTGTCACATGGACACTAAACAGCTGCTGAACTTGCCATCGTATCTCAGGAAAAAGCTGGACCATTTTTGAAGCTACAGGATATGGTGCAACGATGCTGGCAAACTTGTTTGCGTTAAAAGTGCCTTGTTCTTAGCAACTGACGAGGATGAGAGATGGTGTGATGACCTACCTGTATTTGACAAGTGTGTTTTTCACCTCGTTGGAGAGAAGAGCAGGCGGAGGAAAAAAGACAACGAGAGGCAACAGGCGAGGGGAGACAGCCGGCGAGGGAAGGTGCGACCTGAGAGGGAAATTTTGAGCTCAGGACTAGTTGCAGTGCTAGAAGAGGAGACTGAGCGGTCGCTGCCAGACGGAAGGGGGAGGCAGCAGAGATCTGGTCAAACACCCATCTGATTCTGGAGAGTTGTGCTCTGTCAGAGCCACAGAAGGTGAGTATGGATGCTGTTTCAAGTGTCTGGGATGGAAGGAAAGCCAATAAACCAGCACAAAGCTCTGGGAAATCTTTTTGTAAATTCATCCTTCAATTGATAAAGAGCAGGAGTTAATTTTGAATGAAAGAAAAAGTGACAGCTAGTCAGCATGCTTTTGAAATGGTAGATTTATATTTAAAAAGGGCTTCAATTTGAATAAATTTGGCGTTAAGAGACAAGTTTTATCCAACAATGTATTAATCTAGCTTCAAAAGCAAGCAGAAACATCAAAAACATGAATCTAAAAACAATTTAGCATTAAAAATATTTATGTTTGTCATTAAATTTTATTTTGTGCAGCTTTTTTGCCCCTAATGCAACTAAAAGGATTGCCACAACTAAAAATCAGCTTACAAATAATTATGAAATCTGAGAATAACAAATATTAGAACTCCAACTAAAAAGCTCAATAAACAAGTACGCTACATTAGTTCCAAATTAAGCATAGAAATGTCAGATACTTTGTATATTTGCTTGAAAATTTAATATTAACAAAGAATTCTCAATATTTATTTGACAGATCTATAAAAAATAATGCAAATAATATTATAATAAATAAACAATTAGGAGGCACTGTTGCTTTAGTATGCTGATGTCGGTTTTCTTATTTCCTGTAACCTGTGTGGACAATAATCTTGAGTGAGTAGGCGTGTAGAAAAAGCTGGATTTAATAAAAAAAATCAAATTTCTAAAATCTAAATTTTATAACATAACTTCCTTCTTTCAACTGAATTCAAGTCTGCATCCCTAGAACAACTAATAAAAGCTAAATCAAAATAGTACTTTGAACTAGTTTTAAAGGCAACAATGTGGAGTTTTTATCGTTAATCTCTGGAAATATTAGGGCTGCACAATATATCGCAAATATATCGTTATCGCGATATCAGCATGCGCAATATGCATATCACAAGGAACAGATAAATATTGTAATGAATGGTCAGCTCAAATGTTAGCTACACATAATACATTCTGTCAATCAAACGGAAGCATGATGTTTTTTTAACAAATCAAATAGAGCTCGTCACCCATTCGGCCAATTGGGTGGGTTCTCATGGGTCAGATGCCCACCCCCGACACTTAATTTTGATGGTTAGCAAACACCTGAGTTAGCCTAGTTCTGCTGATTCTGCTTTTCCCGGGATCCACTGATTGCCTTTTCTTGTTCATTTTCTTTTTCCCTTCCCTCACATCTTTAGCTTTTCTCATTTTCATGATTTTTTTGTCACTTTTTTTAATTTTTTTTGCTTTTGATTATTTTTGTTCGTGAATTGAGTTTATATTTATCGCAAGTAATATCGTCATCCCAATATTAATCGCTGTTATCGCATATCGCAGGTTTCCCTAATATCGTGCAGCCCTAGGAAATATCTATTTAAAATGTTGTAAATGAATCAAATGATGCCCAGTTGTTAAAAAATATTGGCGGTTTCTTAACATTTAAGCATAAAAATCAGGTCTAAAATATATGGGAACGGTCTCTGGGCGACGCCACATTAGATGTAATGTTTCCTTCTTCGGGAGCCCATAGGACAACATGCATTTACTGATTTGTAACAAAGGATTACAACATTTTCACCATTCATAAACGTTGTTGTTTTACACATTTACTTCTTCACTCATTGCCACTGATGAAAGGGAGTCTGATGTGTTTGTCATTTTGCTGAAGTTTACACTCCCCAGTGGGGATCCATTGGTAAGGTCTTACTCCAACACAAAAATGCAGCTTGCTTGCAACGATTTAGGTATCTACTGCCCCTATCGCCAGGAAAAATACACACTGTCACTTTAAAGGAGCCATTTCATGAAAAATCCATGTTTTGGAGCCTTGTACCATGTGATTGTTATTTTCTCATGAAAAATACCCCCAAACCCATTTTTGGCTGCATTCATGGATTTTTTTTTGTCTCAGCTGCAATTTTTGCAGATTTTTTGGGAAAAACCTGCATAAGCCTTGATGAAAACTAAGTGCGTCATCAGGCATTACTCCTCCCCCTGAAGCTAGTCTCGGACATGGAACCCACCTCTCTTGGCCCACTTTCTCTGAGTTGCAGGACTAGAGTGGTTGATTTCCTGCTGCAGCTGAGACTGTGACCTTCGTGTCACAGATGACTGCTTTAAACCTCCACTAGCATCAGAGTGGATATTCTGACAAATTACTTCTGCACTGGGGACTAAACACAGCTGTAAAAACCATGCATCCTGTCTACAAAGACGCAAAAAATGGCTAGCTTACGATATGTGTGCAAGACAATTATTGATTTGTTACAGACTTGGTAGCCTAGCAGTTAGAGTAATTGACTGGTATGCTGTTTTACACTGGTTCAACTCCCGGTCTCAGCAGTAACTTTTTTTCTTAATTTTTTAGCTACACTTGTCAGTATTTTCTTTTCAACCCTTTACTGGTAAACTGTTTAAAATATAAGGACCAATCTTTTTTTTTTATTTAGCCAGTGTGAGTCCATGTGAGGTGAGCAGAGTAGATCAACTAAAATGACCAAATTCAAAGATTTTTAGAAACGTAAAATATTTTGCAGAAAATAATCAATAAAAGTAAAATTCAAAAAAAAGATTTATTCTCCTTCAGCTGGCTAAATAAATTACTGCTGACACCGAGTGTCGAACCGGCATCATGACATGGCAAAACAAGATGAAAGGTTGATGGTCTATCCAATAGACCACTACAGACAATACATCAGCTGAGTCACCAAAGATGCTCTTGTAGGCCCATTTTTTCGGAGCGGTCGTGGGCAGAGCTTTACTGAAACAGACTTGTTTCATTTCCGGGTATAAATTCAAGCTGATGAAAATAACTCACATTTAAGATAAAAGGACATCTCAATAGTGCCAACAGTAACATTTTATCATATATTGTACGAAACTTTGCTCTCAAAGGTTTAAAAGAGCACGATATAGAAGCTTTAACACCAACAGAGGATGAACTGAATCCGCGTCTATTTTGGCTCACAGGATCTAAGTGGGCTGATCACTCTGTGGGACGTTCTCGGCAACATCTTTATCATCCAGCTGCACCTTTCTTTAGCTCTAGATCATATTCCACCAGTCTCCCTCTTATCACCGGTTGCAGGTAAACAAACCAAGCACTATCTCAGCCATCCTGCCAGGCCTCATTCCTCCGCTTTGACTCCAACCTTCCCCAGTCCATGTGGCTAACCAAGTATCAATAACACTGGAAAATCCTAATTAACAGCATGATTGGGACTATTCATCCCAGTTAGGAAATCGTCCTTGTGTTGGTCAATCCAGTTAGCTAAATCACTGGAGCTATAATGCGATTTAGTTTTGTTTCATTAGGACTGAGGGTTGATGGGTGGCAATTAGCAGCCTGGTAAAGTATGTCTGCGGGGGAGGGGGATGGATCCTCACGTTAATGTGCACAGATGGGTTACTGCGTTAGAGCCAAAATAACTGGGCAGCAATTTCTCCCAGTCTCACATCGTGGACACGTAGACAAGAGTGGCCCGCCATGTGCCTTCAGCGGCGACACAATCAGCCTCCAGCAACGATGACAAACACCAAACTGTGCGACTCTGAACTACTGCAGCTAAATCCCTGAGGTTTGTGCACGGTGATGACAACCTTCCTGGACAAAAGCAGCTTCAAAATACACACATCCTCAGATATTGAGCGTTTATCCTTGAAAAGTCACCTCGGTCTGAAAGTCGCATGGATGAAAAATGTTGTCAGGCTCCAGTCACAGTGAATCAGAGCGATGGGTGCAAAACAAGCAGGAAAGGAATCGTCGTTGAATGTTTTCAAACACATAATGACCTTCAGCTTAAAGCAACAGTTGACACCATTTCCCTGCCGGGCTCTCTTCTTGACGAATGAAAACCAGTAAAGTGGGTTTTTAAAAGGCGGTTTTGCAGTCAGGGGCAGTGGATCTTTAACGTTTTATCATATTTAAACGGAATGAAAAATTATAAATGAAAACTATATAAACAGCTGCATGAGGACGTCTGGACATGGTGGAGAAAAATGAAAAAGGCCAAGAAGCAACTAAAGATCTTCACATGAAAGCAAACTTTTCAAAGTGATTCTGTTCAGGAAGATTTTTGGTGTGAAAACTAATTTTTATAAGATTTCACACTTTATGTTGCTTCAAGCGAAGTGTAACTGAGTTCATTTAAATCTTCCAAAGAGCCTTCTGAAAATATTCTTTTTGACATTTCAAAACAAAAGCATCTTTTCATTATTATCCTAAACACGTTATTCATAAAACGACAGGATAGATCTGGTGCCAAGAAATCAGACTTCTTCTACTAAAGAAACACAATCTCTCCAACATGTTTGTGTGATGGTGTTTCCTTATATAATCTGATAAAAGATCCCATTTCGCCAAAAGTAATATTTGTAGCTCTCATCTTGCGCAGTATTACATACCGCTGAGCAGCAAAGGAGAAAATATTCCATCTCCTTGATTAAAATGTTGCAAAAACCAGCTCCTCGTCGCACTCCCTTCCAACGCCTCCACCATACCCGTAGGTAAAGCTGTCCTCTTGACCTCTCCGCCGTTTTGAGTTTCAACTTCATAAGCCTTGCAAGACAATACAAAAGGCCGAGGAGCACTGCAGCAGGCCAATTCTCCCGAGATGCACAGAATCTTCAGTATTTCTATTTTCAGTCCAACTTTGATCAATATTTCTGCTTTGACTTTCAAAATGAATAATTAATCTGCAAGAACTGAAAAAAAATTTTGAAGTCTGGAAATAATGCCTAACTTCATTGGCCAGAATAAAGGTAAAAGCGTTCCCACCCACGCATCATTCACTATCCTCTAGAGAGCAGCAGCCTCTTGATGTGTACTGTATGACTAATATGCCAATATGGGCAAAACACAGACGAGGGACAGAAGTCAAACAACTACTAAGGACACCTTTGGATTCCACGCTACAGCAGGAGGAACGATTACGACACAATGCTGCTTACTTTCTAAATCT